GGGTGACACAGCGACCCCTCTGATGGGTGCAGACAGGGCGGGTTCATCAGGTCCTGTACCAGCAGGGGCGCTGCTGCCCCCGGCATCGTGGCCCCCGCGAAACAGGAGCGCAGATCCTTTGGCCACAGGGCAAAGAGCAAGGGTGGCGGATCGCCAACCAATCAGCACCCCGCCGGCAGGTGTGCCATGCACGCGCACGCGCCGCCGCGGCTGGCACGCGTGCATACGCACCCTGTGCAGCGTCCAGGAGGGCTTGGAAGGCGGCCTCGTCGGTTCCTTCTCGCGGAGCGGCGTACAGGGCCTCATATCGCTCGTACAAGGCGCGGATGTCCCCCCTCAGACGCTCGCGTTGCCTCTCGTCGAGAGCGAGGGCTGCCTTCTTGGCATGTGGCGCGTCAACACCATCCCCTGGGCCTTGGGAGCGCTTGCGCTTCTCCATCCCCCATCACACTGACAGCTGCGATCTCGGGTGTGTGCGGGGGAAGCGCATCCTGCAATCAACCAATACACCTTTGGGTCGGCTCAATAAAATATGAAGGACTTGTATGCATCTGACGTCGACCCCAGATCACAACTGTGTCACACCGCAGACACCCCCTGAGGAGTTGTAGCTAACGCAAGCTTGAAGCCAGATACCGTAGTTGTATCTAAAAGAGGTGCTGAACGCATCAGCTCTCTGGCGCCATGTCGCCAGAGGTAGCAGCCCTCGCGGCCAAGCTCGAGGTGGGCGCTGCGCAGCAGAGCGCAGCTGCCGTGTTACACGACACCCCCGCGCTGCTGTTCGCAGCAGCCAAAGCGCCGCTGCGTGACCCAATCACCAAGTAATTGCGGGACACGCCAGCACGGCACACCTCAGCGGCATACGCCCACTGCGACCGCCGGTACTGCCCCCCCGCCGCAACGCACTGCGCCCCTGTAGGCCGCGTTCAGCGGCGGCTCCCCGGCGGCGCTGGTGGACGTTGGCGCGGTGCTGGCCCTGGTGGAGGGGGTCTTCCCTGACGCGGTGGCCAAGGTCAAGGTGCGGCGCGGCTGCACGCTAGACTCGGCCGCTCCATTTCAAGGAAAGCATGCAGCGCTGGCTGAGCAGGCAGCCCCTCGCAACGCCCTGAACCCCACACCTCTCACAGCTGAAAACCACAACGGCCCACCCAGGCCGGGCACCGCAGCGACGCCGCCGTCGCGGCCGCGCGGGCGTCGATCAGCACAGCCACGCGCGCCGCCTGCCAGCGCCTCACGCGCGCCGCGCTCGACGCGGGCGCCGCGCCGCTGCGGTGGGCGCCCGGCGGGGCGGCGGCCCCGGTCCTGCCGGCGTTCCTGGACCGCGTCTACGACCTCAGCCAGGGGGTGGGCAGGCGCTGAGACGCGGCGGCACCGCGGGGCTCCGGCTGTGTGCGCGGTTGGGGCAGGGATGAGGCGGGGCCCGCGCGAACACATGGCATCGCGCTCCCAGCGGCCGGGGGCTGCGGCGTTGTGTGCAAGGGCAGGGCGCAGGGGCGCCATGCGGTTGCATGCCAGCTGTCGCATGCGCGGTATTCCGGTCTTGGGGACGTGACGCTCTACCGCCCACTCCCCCCCACACACACACCCTTGCTTAAACCGCGCCCCCTCCGAACC